TGATATGAAAATGGGCGGTGTCAAAACTCATATTTATTTTTAGGGACTTCTTTGAAAAATCTGATAAATACAAAACAACTTTTTCTAGAATTTTGTTTTGAAAACTATCTAGCATGAAAGAAAATGATCTAACTAAGAAAATTAATCCGAACACCAATATCTTTAATTCAGTAATTAACTCTGTACAGACGTTTAAAGAGTTGTTTACATGACGTCACAATGAAGCGCCAAACAGCGCGTGCTTATGCATAAATTACTGCGCGTTGTACAATTGCAGTTGGTAGCAAGCAAGGGGATTCGTTACCATTCTCTTTGATAATGAAATTAAATAAAAAGGTTATTTTTTCGTTTTTCGTGAAATATGGTATATATTTTTTTACTTAACATGATAAAATGCCACATATTTTCACTCGCCGTCCCGGCTCGTGAAAATATGTGGCATTTTATCATGTTTCGTGAAAATATTTTCCATATTTCACTCAAACGAAAAAATATCCTCTTAATATCAGTCAAATATATTTCATATTTTTTAAAAATAAATATGGAATATAAATATGAAAGTGGGCGGAGTCAAAACTCTATTTTAAGGGACTTCTTTCGCCGTTTTGTTTGAAAAATCTGATAAATACAAAACAACTTTTCTTGAAATTTGTTTTGAAAACTATCTAGCATGATAGAAAATGGTCTAACTAAGAAAATTAATCCGAACACAAATATCTTTAATTCAGTAATTAACGCTGTACAGACGTTTAAAGAGTTGTTTACATGACGTCACAATGTAGCGCCAAACAGCGCGTGCTTACGCATAAATTACTGCGCGCTATACAATTGCAGTTGGTAGCAAGCAAGGGGATTCGTTACAATTTTCTTTGATAATGAAATTAAATTAAAAGGTTATTTTTTCGTTTTCGTGAAATATGGTATATATTTTCACTCAACATGATAAAATGCCACATATTTTCACGTTTTGTGAAAATATATTCCATATTTCACGCAAACGAAAAAATATCCTCTTAATATTCGCGTGACTGGATATACATGGTGAAGTCAGTAACATCATCCGAGTCAGTTTAATTTCTAGATTGTATGAAAGTATATAACACATCTCAGAAACGTAACATTTCTTTATGTTTTTCATTACATAAAGACAAATTATTAAAATTCACATTTATTTTAGGTGTAACATTTTTGTAGGTCGTCTTGAGGCGGTAATTATTATAGCTTGTAATCAACATTACATTGAACTTATAGGCCTAAATGATTGAGGAATAGTTAAGAAATATCATTCTGTACTTGTAAGTGAATCCAATGCCTAGATTGTGTTGTGCTGCTTCTTTGTGTAAGCCTGTCTACACAGATAAACCGATGGGGATCTCACTGCCAAGAAAGTAAAGATGCGTTCTTTCTTGCATATCAGAAAGGATTATCTACACCGGTGCTAGAATATAAGATTCTTACAATGGCTAACGGTACAAACCGGAATATTTAGCTCGACGGTAACTGTTTACGGCGGTAACGAGGTTCTGCCGAGTGTCCGCAAAACAGTTACCCGAGAGCTAGATATTCCCGTCTGTACCGACATCCATTGTTTGATTCTTTTTCTTGCATATTACATATCAATTACTTTTAGAACAGAAATTACGAAAACTGATATTCTCATTACGTACTTTTTTCTTATAGTAGCATATGAACTTACAACTTCATTCATATCTGTAAAATGACGTCATTCTAAGAACGCAATTCATTCATAAAAAGCCCAGCAATGACGTCGTTAAAAGCACGCGACTTGTCTTACATGTGGAGTGTAAGATAGAGTTTTCCAGCACCGGTGTAAACGGTAGATAAGTTAACCCTGTCTGAGATGCAAGAATATAAGAATCTTACACCGGCTGCCGGTACAGACCGGAATATCTAGCTCGAGGGTGACTGTTTACGGCGGTAACGAGACTCTGCCGAGTTTCCGCCGTAAACAGTCACCCGAGAGCTAGATATTCCTGTCTGTACCGGCAGCCGGTGTTTGATTCTTTTTCTTGCATATAACATATCAATTATTTTTAAACAGAAATTACAAAAACGGATATTCTCATGACGCACTTTTTACTAATAGTAGCGTATGAACTGACAATTTCATTCAAAACGGTTAAGTGACGTCATCCTAAGAACGCAATTCAATCCTGTCTGAGATGGAAGAAAACCCTGTCCTACACCCCTATGTAAGTCAATTCGCGTGCTTTAAAACGACGTCATTGCTGCGCGCCTTCTAAGAATGAATTGTGTTCTTAGGATGACGTCACTTAACCGTTATGAATGGAGTTGTACGTTCATACACTACTATAAGAAAAAAGTGCGTAATGAGAATATTAGTTTTCGTAATTTCTGTTCTGAAAATAATTGATACGTGCTCTCGGGTAACTGTTTAGCGGAAACCCGGCTGAGCCTCGTTACCGCCGTAAACAGTCACCCTCGAGCTAGATATTCCGGTCTGTACCGACAGCCAGTGTAAGATTCTTATAGTATTAGCACTGCACGTGTAAATCGCAGAACGGTGTAGTCCATCTCAAACGTTGCGACTTTTCTAAATGCTATGCTTGCCCGGCGGGTCATGTCTGACATCAGAGGCATGGTTTATACAATGTTTGTAGATATCCATTAGGCAATGCTGCATGCCATATATCTATAAGCTATCAGACAAGTAATTTCGGAGGAATAGATAAGAATTTAGATACGCTTCCTATTTAAGTCTGTGTGAACTAAGTGAACCCCAGGAGGAGACAATTTTGAACCTGCATGCTTTGAGGCATGATTTAAATAACGTGTTAAATACGATGCTACATATTACCAATGTACATACTTTGCTGTTTTACCGTGATTGTGCATCACACCGGGACCACTAATAACATTTTCATATTAAGGACATCATAAGGGACATCAATGTGAAACATAGACAATGTCCACTATAAGGTTTAGTGAAATGTTAAATTTTTGCATACCATGCACATGATTTTTTACACTGGTCAGTTTCTTGCTAAAATAGGTCATTTTTCCAACAATGCTACTAAAATTGTAATACCGTATAATGGGTTAATCTTTATTCATACAAAATATTAGTACAGTACAATGTATACTTCAGAAGCAGATCAAACATTTCAGAAATAAAGAGAACTGCACCAGGATATACCTGTAATACAAACCGAACCTTTTAAAGTGTTTCTAAAGTCGCTGACTTCAATGATGGTCAATTTAAACTTCGACGGTAATATAAACAATGCAACAGCCGAAATAAACATCAAGATTATCGCCGTTTTTTTCCATTGACATAATCTTTCGATAAATTCAATGGACCAGTCGGCTATGAACGAAGCTATCCGATTATGTGGCCTCAGCTTTGCCGTGTGCAAAATGCGCAGCGCTTTTAAGTTTGGGAACCACATAATCGGATGGCTTCGTTCATAGCCAACTGGCACGTTTGAATTTATCGAAAGATTTTGTCAATGGAGAAAAACGGCGATAATCTTGATGTTTATTTCGGCTGATGCATTGTTTATATTACCGTCCGACAAAGTTTAAAATTGACCATCATCGTCAAGAATCATATCTTCTGTGTCGATGGACCAAAGGATTATGTGAAAATATTGGAAATAGAATAAAATACATGGTGATTATGACGGTATGGGTTGCGGATTTTTTCCGGTTAACATTTTTATCTTGTGTATTATTATAGATGTTGAAATATGATTTTTTTTCAAAACGGCTTATATTAAGTTTTTTTGATATATATGATCAGTACATGTGCTGGGATTGACAAATATGCATTTTATTTGGATTTTAAAGGCGTTTTGAGCTCCAAACCCCAAGTGTTTGTGAATATTGTCAGTTTCTTAGAGTACTAGCTGTGGTTTGTTTGAATTTAGCACCAGCTTGCAAACGATAGCACTGTGTACTCAGCAATAAAGCGGCCACCACTGACAAGTGTGCATGGCTTTCGAAAATGTACTGTAACTATTTAAAAAAAAAGAAGAAGCTTTTTAGCAAATGTTTAATCACATGTTGTCGGTACCGGGTATTCCATGTAAGCAATCTTTATACTTAGTGCTATGGTGATATTACATTTGAAATCACGTGATACATTATCATCTTCAATATTTTACTCAATTTAAATCTATTCAGTTTGTTAGCCAAACTTGTGTTTACACGGAAAAATAAATGTGTAAATAAAATGTATTTTGGCATAGGACATAAAATACCTTTTTGGTTCATAAGTGTTTGGAAACTTTTCATTTTTTGTAGAATTTTGGCTGGCAAAACTTCAAGTGTAGTAGAATCTAGAACAAAAACCACACAATGCACTTTATCTTCAAGAGTTGGTTTTGATATATAACCGTCATGGTCTGCGGAAATGGGCGCTGCTGGATTGAACTACAATTTAGAATGTTTAATAAAAAAAAACATGACGTGGAAAATATGTATTGAATTAAATTTATTTAAATGCTACGGTCAGTTGATACTTATTTCTATAGTAGAACCAACCAATTAGTGTAAAGTCTCTTGCTCACGAAATCAACGGGTTTAAGTAATAGAAAGAGCACCGAAACACGAGGCTATCTGATTTGTACGAGGGGGCGTAGCCCCGAGTATAAATCAGATTGCCGAGTGTTTTGGTGTTCTTTCTCTTTTGTATCATAGTCAAACATAAAAACACGTTCCCTGTTGTCACAATTGTAAACCCCGGGAAAAAGTAACTAATGATCGAGCATCTGAATATGATATTTCTGCCGCTTTCCCTTTCTCTGCCGTCACAATATGTAAACCCCAGCAAAAATGAGCCAATCAACGGGCATGATCTGGAGTGCGGGTAACTGATACCTGCACTCCAGTTACCGCACTGTGCATGTATATGTATACGATTTAACTCTGACACTTTTTCAACAGAAAGGTCCCCAAACTATGATACAAGCAATCTTTAGGTAACTTATCCAACGCGTTAACTTATCGGCTGCGCTGCCGCTGTTGAGCATAATCGCAGTCATATCATTCAAATGAATAATGTTTATTTAACAATCTTATTAAAATCATCCTTACTGTCGTTTCACTACCCTTTGCTGGGTTGCTAAGAGTAACGCTGCGAAAACGATATAATTTAAATGAGATTGATTATTTAATGATTTTAAAATGTAAGCATTTAACTATAACCCTAACCATTTCCAAAAATATAACCGAACTTCTTGGTAGCTTGTGTTTAATTCACATCGTTTACACAATTAAATGTCGTATTTACTTAATGAACAAAAAAATGTAAAAACTGCAAAGCGCATTTGGAACAGAGAGTTGGGAAGTATTACTGATACTTTGACAAACATAAATAGCATTTCACCTACAATCTCAACATCTCTGCTTTTATTCTTCAGAAAATTTAATCTTAAATACTTTCATGCTGGATATGTCAAATTTATTTATATTTCATTTAAATAGTAAAGTAAATTAAACAAGATCAGTGATATTCACTGAACATACTTTATGATATTACAGTTTTCTCTAATTACCTGATAATATTCAGGTACATTTCCTTCCAGTAAGCAGTTACATTCAAGAACATCTAGCCCCTGCGATTCTTCTAACCCACGTGTGTCACACAGTTTAAAGTTCAAATTAGCCCCGGATCGAACTCTCACGAAATAAGGAGTGTACTGAAACAGAAAGAAACATACAGCTTAAAAAATTAAGGTTTAATCTTAATCTTTTGCCGTGTTGGGCTTTCTTTAGGGATTCTGTATTTATCTATTTAATAACTAAACGGGGTTTTCTACATGATAGGTACTCTTAGTAACAATGCAAGAGACAACACGACACTTATTGTCAACAGTGAGTGTATGAGTGGGTGAGTTAATGTACATATATATTTGAACTTTTATGAAATTAGAGATGGTGCATAAGGACTAGAAAAAAGAAACCATACAGCGGTCGTTAAACTTTGTTCTGCGCTGCCACTGCCTGCCCTCTGTGTTAAATACGACCTCTGAATATGGAGTTGATAGTGTTATAAAACTTGACTTGCCGGCTCCAACTGGACCGATCATCAAGATTCGAGCCCTCCGAGATGTTCAAATCCGGAAAGGTTTAAATGACACTAACATCTTCTGTAAGCTCGTTTAAGAAACTGAAATAATTCAAAAAGTAAGTTCTTTGATATATAATGAATGATAAATTCAAATGAAATCAGAATTCGACTAAAATAATCTAAAGAAGATAAGAACTTCAAAATTTATCTAGCTGGGATGTTATGTTTGTAAACAATAAGGAAATTAATAACATGTAACAGTTTTGTTTTTAAGATAAAGTGACAATGTTGCTTTTATAACTGAATAAGGTTACTTTTATAGGATAGCGATAATTGCTGCTAAGACCGTGAATACGTATCCACAGCTAAAGCTAAGAAATATTTAACAATACTTAAAGCTAAGACCGTGAATACATATCCATATTTGAAAATGAGACAATATTTAAAGGTAAGACCGTAAATACGTATCCATATTTAAAGATATGACAATACTTAAAGCTAAGACCGTGGATATTTTATCTATGTTAAAGAATGTATAGTAAAAAAAAAATGACGGAATAAACTAAAAAAAAAATCAAAACTTGTATAAGTTTGTTGCACTGTTTCTTATGATTACTGTAATGCCTTTCTACAAACATCATTCTTTCTTTCGAATAGAAAGTACCATGACTTTTATCAAGATACATCCAATAGAGTTATATACTTTATTTAACACGTCCTGCTACCCAAAAGAGTGAAAATATGGAAAATTTCAATCAAAATAAACCTTTTGAATATTGAATCTTTATTGAAATGATTTTTTTTAAATAAATATCTAAATGAACTTTTATCAAAATATAACACGCATCATTACTTTTTCGTTCCAATCTCTTGTTTTGCGCCAAGGCTCTAATTCAAATCGTTTTCCTCCGACCATCTGAAAACAATTTATAACAACAATATTATCAACCTCCTAAACAAAACATGCTAGTACAATAGATATGTAATGTTTTAAATACAGAAGCATGATTCTGATACAAAACAGACATCTCATGTTCTGCCAGCAGGATTACTTGGCATCCAATTAAATATGAATGACATAGAGATATAAAAACACGTTTAAAAAATAAGTCCAATTGTTAAACTTCAACTGCAAATTAACAAATTACAAATACTGGAAGTTAGTACGTTTGTGGTTTCAAATTTTAATTTATAAATCTTTTTCAAATTTTTAACCCGATACTTTGTAAACTTTCCATTCAACCAACTTTTTTCAATATTGCCATTATTGATCCCCTGGTTTCCATTGACACGCTGGGCGTCATAAGCCGTACCCAATAATTTAAAGATCCGTTAAGAGGCAAAAAAAAGCCAGAGCCAGAATTATTGACATGCCGGGAAAATCGCATAAATCAAAGTTTTAATATTGCCTTATAGAAAACTGATTCCCCATAGACCACGCATGGTTTTCCTTTGGGAAAACCCAAAAAATTAAATTTTTCCCTTTTAAAAGGCCCAAAAAGTAGTAAAACCCGGGGCAAATTAAATTAAAAGTCCCAAAAATTTTAAAAGCGAAAATCCCTTTAAAAAAGGTTCCCCCTCCAAATGTTGGGCCCATAACCACCTTTTTCTTATATATGCCGTACCCATTTTTTTTGGGAAGGGAAATTTTTCCTTGCGTTGGAGATTTTTTAAAAAATGTAATTGGTAGGGAAATGCATTAAAAATCATCGTTAGAAAACCCCTTTTCTTTTGGGCCTCCCAATTTTAATAAACTTGTATTAACCCCAATTACACCAAATCCTTGTTTGATTTTTTAACAACACTGTAAAACGGGAAAAATTTCCCTTTTGTTTCAAAACCATTTTAAAAATGAAAAACGTTTTTAAAGGCCTTTAATCCATCTTTTGAAATAAAGGTGAAAAATTAAATGTTTTGGCCCTTTTGGTTCCCCTTTCCATTGGGCCCTGCGTCCATATCTTTTTTTCTGTTAATTTTCCCCCCTTTAATTTTCCCCGCTGTAAAACAAAATCGCTGTAAAAATTAAATTCATTTTTTGTTTCTAAATTTAATACTTTTTAAATGGGGGTTCGAAATTTTTAAAACCAAATTTTTAATAGGATTTCTTTTAATTTACAAAAAAAAGGTTTTGACAGACAATATTTTAAAAAAACGTTGGAAAACCCAAATTAAAAAAATGACCTGAATTCCCTCTACCCAAATTTCACAAAGAAAAATTTTCCCCAACCCAAAGATTTCCCAACTTTTTTTAAAAGTTTTTTCCCGGGAATCCCCAAAATTTCCCTTTTTGGAAAGGTTTTCAAAAAAATGACAAACCCCGGAACCAAAAAAAAACCAAAGGTTTTTGAAAAAAAATTATTATTAAAAATTTTGTGAAAATTTAAAACCCCAAACCAAGGTTTTAAAAAAAACCCTCAAAATACCAAAAGCCCAATATAAAAAAAGCAAAAGAAGGGTTGTAATTTGGGCAAAATTAGTGAAGGTTTCCAAAGATTTTTGAACAGTTAATTTGGAAAAAGAAGATGGGAAAAAAAAATTTGGAAAAATGAAAAAATTAAACGGTGCAAAATTTTTTCCAAAAATGAACCCAAATCATCTATGAACCCAAAAGGTAAAAAAAAAGGAGTTTTTTTAATTAAACAATTTTGAAGTTTTTGAAAAGCCAGATCACCATTTTTGAAAGGACAGAATAATACAAAACGCACGTAGGGCAAAAAATTTGGGCCCAAATTTAATGAAACTCTCTAAATTAATTGTTACAAAAAAAATAACTTCAAAAAGAAAACAAAAAACAAAAACACCAAAATGTAACACTTTATAAAGGCTTTTAACATTTTAAAATTCCTATATTTAAAAGTGTTTTTTAAAAAATAAATTGGTAAAAAGTTCAAAAAAATTTGGTTTCTTTTTAAAAAACCCCCAAATTTTTGGCGTAACTTTTTAACCCTTTTGCTTTTTTAAAAAACCCTAATTGTAAAAACCCGCTTGTAAAAAATCTATGTAAACCTTTTTAAATTTCCCGATATTTGGCCTTTTTTAAGGCCATTTTTTAAAAACCCACTTGTTAAAAAACCTTTTAAACATTTTTTTTAAAAAAAATTTTTCGTGTGAAATTTTCATTTCATTCTAAACCTTCGTAAAACATTTGTAACAATGCTGTAAAACTAATCGGCCGTAACAACCTTGTAACATCTATGTAACTTTATTTAATTTCCGTTTTTCTGACCTATTTTTTAAAAGTCTTGTGCTGTAACACTTGTAAAAAACCTTAACATTTTGTAACAATTATCTGTGAAATTTTCATTTCAATTCTCAACCTTCGTAACATTGTAACAATGCTGTAACAACTACGTAACAAACCTTGTAAACATCTATGTTAACCTTATTTCTTCCCGTTTTCCTGACTATTTTTAAGTCTTGTGGGCTGTAACACTTGTAACAACCTGAAACAAATCTGTAACACATTATCTGTGAAATTTCATTTCAATCTCAATTCTCGTAAACATTTTGTAACAATTGCTGTAACAATGCTGTTAACAAACCTGTAACAACATGATAACCTTATTAATTCCGATTTTTGGTCATTTTTCAAGGCTTTTTCTGTTAAACATTTGTAACAACCTGTAACATTTGTAACATTATCTGTGAAATTTTCATTTCACTCCAAATTCTTAGTAACAATTTGTAACAATGCTTAACAATGCTGTAACAAGGCTTTAAACATCTATGTAACCCTTTATTAATTCCCCGTTTTCAAACCATTTTTAAGGGCTTGTGCTGTAACACTTGTAACAACCTGTAACATTTGTAACCCCAATTATCTGTGAAATTTCATTTCATTCTCATCCTTCGTAACATTTGTAACAAATGCTGTAACAACATACGTAACAACCTTGTAACATCCATGTAACCTTATTAAATTCCCGATTTTTGGTCATTTTCAAGGCTTTTTCCTGTAAACACTTGTAACAACCTGTAACATTTGGGGTAACCACAATTATCATGTGAAATATTTATATCATTCTTATCCTTCGTGAACATTGTAACAATTTGCTTTAAAACAACTACGTTAACAACCTTGTAACAACATGTAACCTTATAATTCCTATTTTTTCGTCATTGTTCAAAGGCTTGTCCTGTAAACACTTGTAACAACCTGTAACATTTGTAAACATTATCTGTGAAATTTTTATTTCATTCTTTATCCTTCGTAACATTTTAACCATGCTGTAACAACTACGTAACAAACCTATGTAGAACATCCATGTAACCTTATTTAATTCCGATTTTTTGTTGTCATTTTTCAAGGCTTTTCTGTAACACTTGTAACAACCTGTAACATTTGTAAACAATTTTATCTGTGAAATTTTTTCATTTCATTCTCAAACCTTCGTAACATTTGTAACAATGCGTAACAAATACGTAAAAAACCTTTAAAAACCCAAATGAAACCTTATTTTTTCCCGTTTTCGGGACCTTTTTTAAGGGCTTGTGCAAAAAACCCTTTGAAAAACCCTTTAACTTTTTGTAACAATTATCTGTAAAAATTTTTCATTCTTTCCCTAAAACCCTTCGTAACTTTTGAACAATGCTGTAAAAAATTGTAAAAATCTATGTAATCTTATTTATTCCGTTTTTGAGCTTTTTTAAAGGCTTGTGCTGTAAAAACTTGAAACCCAACCTGTAACAATTGTAACAATTTCTGTGAAAATTTTTTTTTCAATTCGTTTTCCCCGAAAACCATTTGTAACAATGCTGAAAACAATGCTGTAAAAAACCTTGTAACCCCTATGAAACCTTATTAATTCCGTTTTTTGGTCTTTTTAAAAGGCTTTTTTCCTGTAACATTTGTAACAACCTGTAACATTTGTAACAATTATCTGTGAAATTTTCATTTCACTTCCAAATTCTTTTAACATTTGTAACAATGCTGTAACAATGCTGTAACAACCTTTGTTAACATCTATGTAACCCCTTATTAATTCCGTTTTCTGACCATTTTTAAGGCTTGTGCTGTTAACACTTGTAACA